AATTGGAAAATGTCCTCAAGGAGCAAAATGGCTGGGGCTTGAACTCATGGACTCTACCACTTAAGACACTTCACCAGCCCTTTTTTGTGTTGGGTAGTTTCAAGATTGGGTCTCCCGAACATTTGCCTAGGCTGGCTTCAAACCATGATCATCTTGATCTCTGACTTCTGAGTAGGTAGGATTATAGGCATGAACCATCAGCACCCAGCTTTAAAAATGTATTTTTAATTGACTCATTAATTGTACATATTTACGGAGCACAGTTATGATAAGTTGATAAATGTATCTGATGCACAATGATCAGATCAGGGTAGTTAGTATTTCCATCTCCTTAAACATTGACATTTCTTTGTGTTTGTGATTTTAAACTCTCCTTTATGAAATACAACAAGTTGCTGTAAACTGTAGTGACCCTTCTGTGAATTTATTTCTTGAACTGTCTTATTCCCTCTCTACCTTACCCTTTCTAGCCTCTAGTAATTGCTATTCTGTGTTCCCCTCTTCCATGAGATCAACTTTTTTAACTTCCATGTAAGAACATACAATATTTGGTTTATCTCATGTAACATATTAATCCCCGAGTTCTATGCATTTTGCTGGAAGTGACAGTTTTATTTCTTTGTAAATTTTTTTTTAATTTATCATGGGGCTTTAGAAATTAGATTTCTTTTTTAATCCTAACAGTGACCTGGTACAAAATCTTTTTAAGAGAGGCTTGCTTTGGTCTTATTGGTCATAAAATGTGACCTGAATGGATGAGGATCTATCTATCTGTCTGTCTGTCTATCTATCTACCTATCTATCTATCCATCCATCCCTTCTATTTAGAGATGGTATCTCCATGTGTCTGGGTATTGTAATCTGAGTTTGTTTAGACCAAAAAAGCTTACACCCAAAGGCAACTGCATGAACACTGAAGATAATGTAGTTATTCTAAAAAGAGGTGTGTAAGAAAATTAATTCTGGCTGTGGGTATAGGTCAGGGGTAAAGTGGTGGCCGAGCATGTGCAAGGCTCTGGGTTCAGTCCGTAGCACTGCAAAAATGACATCTTCATCTGAGGTTCATTTATCAAGAAGATAGGAAGTAACAGCGTTATGAAAATACCACCTTGGGCAGTTTAATTATTTTTATTACTGTTGTACTGGGGTACATTGTGACATTTTCCAAAGTTCTTACATTATATCATAGTTGAATTCACCCCCTCCATCCTTCTCCTTTATCCCTTCTTCCCCCCATTTTCCTACAATAGTTTCAGAAGGCCTCATTTTTCCATTTTCAAGTGGTAGATTCTTACCTCACATCCATGAGTCCCTGAGGTCCAATCTCCACTGCAGCAGAAGAAACAAAAAGAAGAAAAATGTCACCTTTAGATCAGTGACAAAGAATTAAAGCCTCTTATTTGTGTATATTCTATCAGGTTTAAAGACACCAGTCATTTTGTGAGTGGGAATAAAATGAAAAAACATTTGGGGCAAGTATGTGTGAATTCGTATTACCTTATTTTGTTGTTGTTTGATGCCTAAACTGGCCTCAAACTCATGATCTTCCTTCTCTTGCCTTCTGAGAGCTAGGTGTGTTTACCTTTAGAGTTTCAACGTACTGCTTGATAGTGGCTGTGGTAGGCACATGTCATGTTCACTTTGAAGACATTCTCCAAAATGTTTCATAGAAACTCTCCCATAAATACTCCTCCCAAACCCTTGGCATAAGTGCATAGGTTCTGGAGGTAGGCAGATGTGTGTTTGCAGTTATGTTATCAATAACAAATATTTAGTTAGTGTTTACTGTGAGCCACGTGCTCTCAGTATATAGCCATCCTTTACTCTCTTAATGCTTGGAATAGCCCCGTGAAGTCTGAGCTGATAGAGATGCAAGCTCAAGGGACTTACTTATCACAGGTAAAGCTAGGATTTGAATTCAGGCTTGGGAAACACGAGCCTGTGTGTGTGTGTATGTGTGTGTGTGTGTGTGTTGTTATCCCACCTCCCTCCTCTGTGACATTGAGCAAATTTCTGATATACAGCTCTATATTTGTATTGTGAAATCCAGAATACCTTGGAATTTGATAGTCTTTTCATAACTTACTTGGTAGGAAGAATGGGTCCTGAAGGCTGGGGAGCTATTTTATTTATAATTTATTTTGAGATGGGATCTCACTGTGTCACCCAGACTGGTCTCAGATACCTGGGCTCCTGTAATCTTCCTGCCTCAACCACCCAAGTGGCTGGGACTATGGTATATGCCACCATCCCTGGATATTTGTGTTTTCTGTTTATCCCGTTTAATGTGAACCATTGATATGTGGTGTAAAAATAGTAATGGGTTAGATTAGGAGGTGCTGCTGTAGACCCTTTCTGGAGGAGTTACAAAATATATGGCATATACACTGCCATATATTTTAATTTCCTAAAATGCAGGAAAAGTTTAGGAAATTTAAATTTCCTAAAATACAGGAAATTGTGAAATCTGAAACCCTGTAAGAGATCGTGGCCCTCTATTTAACTGGTATACCGCATTGTTTTCTCATCATAGTAAGAATTACAGTGTATGTAATAATTAATGCATGTAGGTATTTGAGATACCTGGTGACAGGAAGCATTGGGTTAGCTGAGATTGTTGGATCATTCTGTTGCATTTTATATTCAGCTGTACACGGCTTGGACGCGAAAGCTCACGTATGTAGAAAATGTGAATTGTGTTCAGCTTGCAGCTATAGTTCAGCGCTGTATTGTAGTGGTAACAGGATAGTGAGAAGCCATGCCTTTTACAGAATGTGGCTCTTTGGGGGCAGTAGTGATTTCTTCCTGTAAACGTACATTTTCCTGTAGTACAGGGTTTCCTTACCTTTTCATGCCATTGTGCACTTGGAAAATCTCTTACTGCAATGAAATAGTGGAGAATGTGTTTCTCCCTGCTTCTGGAGAATCCAGAACTGAGGGATCATTATGGCACACCTGTACCACCTTGGCAGAAGTGTATATATGTCAGGTGGAGGAGCAGGATAAATGGAATAGAAATTATTAGTGGGTTTACTTTGGCTACTTACTTCCAGTAAATATCTACTTTAAAGTATTGTAGAAAGTCCAGACGACACATGAATGAAATGTAGAATTTTTTAAACAGCCAGGTCACTTAATTTGTTGTCTTCTAGCAGTCAGGAATGAGATGGAGTGACTGTTTACTTAATGCTTTATAAAATGAATTCATTGGCTTCTTAAATTAAGCATATTTCACTTGTAAGTTGGAATTATGAAGAAATTAATGTACACAACAAAACAAATTCAGTTTGACTGTTAGAAATTATTTATGATGGGTGTAGAGAGGAGTACAATAAGAAGCAGTTTCACATGTCTACATCTCTCCGTGCCAAACTAAAAGCTTCCCTGCCAGATAAAAGGTGGGCAGAGGGTTGATTGTCATCTGGATAAATTATTTCTAGAACATGTGCTGGGACACTGCCTGCATCTATCAGTTCAGTTTTTAGGATAGTAGGGCAAACATGCAGCAGTTGTGAGAGCAGAATACCACACATTTTGGGGTCAGAGAAGACACTCTGTATCATTGATTTCCTCTCCTCTGCTCTCTCACTCTCTCTCTCTCTCTCTCTTTCTCATGCTCTCTTTTTTTGGTGGTACTGGGATTTGAACTCAGGGTCTTCACAGATGTTAGACATTCACTCTACCACTTGAGCCACACTCCCAGCCATACTGGTTTCTTTCGAAGGATTCAGGGGAAGATTTGTTCTGACTGGTCTCTGTGTGAGGGGGAGCATCTTCCTTGAACCTCAATGGTTGCATATGCTAGACAAATGCTCTACCATTGGGTTACGTCCTCCTTTGTTTTCCAGTGGGCTGTTGTGGAGGGGTAGGGGTAAGAGGGTTGCATGGGTGGAAACTGTTTACCTGCTTGACACTCACACACTTAGCTCTGAGGAGCCTTGGAGCTCTCTCTGCTCAAGCTGGGGCCTTTTCAATAGAATTTTTCAGAGGTAGTATATTATTTCTTTCTTTTCTTTTTTTTTTTTCTTTTGTATTTTGTTTCCAAGCTAGGGGGTCTCACTAACTTTGCCTTGAACTCACAACCCTCTTATCTCCACCTCCTTGAGTAGCTAGATAACAGGCGAGTTGTTCCACCACGCCCACCTATAAATATACCTCTTGTAATAGCTTTCCACCTTTGTAGTGGATGATTCTTTAATAGTACACAGCTCAAAATATTATGTTAATTTGGAATCTGTGAGCTAGGGCATATTACTTACTAGTTATGTTGTTTGGCTTTTCACAGAATGTTGCATCTCCACTAAAGCACAGATCTGAATTATATGACTCTTAAATCTGCCAGTGTGCCCTAAATAGCATGGTAGTAATTTTTGCAATAAAAAAGAAGTTCTAGAAGAACAAAAGAAACAAACAAAAAGAAAAAAGATGTACTGATGAAAATTCTTCTCATTATAGAAACAAAGATAAAATTCTAGAAGATATGGAGTCATGACAAAAACCATGCACTGCATACAAATGTGCACATATATTGATATTTTAAATTTTATAATTATTCTCTCCTGTCATTCCCACAAGCATGTTGCAAAGATAAGTAAGTCTCAGCTCATTATTTTTAACCTAGGTAATGTGAAGTGTTGATGTGTTAAGGTTTAGGGAATAGAATGCTGCAAATTCCCTGTATTTGTTGGAAAACAGGATAGCTGTATTATAGGTGAAATTTGCAAAGTAGACAAATTCTAAATTATATAGCTAGAACTAGTGAGAAGTAGCACAGCTTGAATGACTGGTGTCACAGAATAGAGTTTGGGCCCTACGGCTGGCCCAGATTGTCAGCCAGTCCAGATGAGGGGATCGGAGTGTGCGTACAAAGTGTTAATCGGAGATTCCACATTTTGCAGAATTCTCTTCCCCTAAAACAAATAAAAACACTTTGTCTTTTGGTAACATTTCCCAGAATTCAGATCTCTCTCTTTTTCTTTTTTCTTTTTCTTTTCTATTAGAAAACTGAAGAATGGGAAAAAAGAAAGACTGAAGCAGACATGGAAGAGTATGTGTGGAAAAATAGCTCCTCAGAAAAAAGTATCTTGGAAACACTTCTTCAAATTAAAGCTGCTGAGAAAAATTTGGAAGTAAATAAAGAAGAGCTCCTTGGTACTAAAGAAGTTGAAGATTACCAAAAGTGTGTTGTTAGTCTTAAAAATGAAGGGGAAAATGAGATTAACCTTTCTCAATACAAAGAATCAGTGAAGAGACTATTGAATTTGACATGAATTATGAAGTAGAAAAGTCTGCTCTGGCTTACTAATTTTATGCATGTAAGCAATATCTCATTTCACATAGAAGTGAAAATGTTTTAAAACCATCATTTCATGTCATTAAAATAATCTTTCTTACTAATTCACATTGACAGTGATTATTTTAGAGTTTTTAGTTTATACACCAGAACAGTTAATTAGAAGATCACTGATTGCTCAGACTCTAAGGTGTCTTTATTTCTATATAACTTTAATACTCATATTTTATATATATTTGATTGCTTGTCACTGCAGTATTTCTTTCCTCCCAGATTGGCATTTAGGGCTTGCTCTTGAACAGACTGATTATTTGGAAAGCCAGGCCCAGAACCCAGCTCCCTGACTTGCAGTTCAGTGCTTTGTTGACTTGTTTCCAGTTCTGGGCTGAATCAGGTCCTTGGGGATATTTTCTAATCTAAAAACTTGTTCCTTCCCTTCCTCCCTTTTAGGGGCACTTTTTGTTGATTCAGTTCTGCTTAGCATCCTGCTTCCTATGTTTTAGAGCTCATTTTGCAAACCCAGGCTGGAGGAAAAGTACAGTAGATACTACCTGGTGTTCACCCCTCTCAATGCCCCAGGTAGAGCTCAGGAAAGAGTGCCATGTGAAGACCTTCAGTTTAATTGGAGTAAATGACAAAGTGAAAACTGTGCTAAGAAGCATGCCATTGAGTTTGAGTTTAGCTGTTAAAACTTTTTTTTTCAGTGCTGGGGATTGAATGCATGGCCTCATGCTTACAAACTCTGCTCTTGGGGCTAGATTCCTAGCCCAAGTCAGTGATTTTAAGTGTATTTGCAAGTCATTTGTTAAGACTTCCCAAGTTGTTGACAGGTTGTTCATTTACAATCACAACAAAGGAATTCTTGAGAGGTCACTTGCTAATAGACATATTTTGCCTAACAGAATTAGAGAATATAAATGAAAGTAAAAAGCTATCTCAAATCAGTTGTCTAAAACATTTGTATAAAATGAAGTATAATTTGGTATTAGCAAGGCCAAAGTCTACAGGTTATAAAAGACAAAAATGTGGCCTTGAATATAAAAGAAAAAAGGGAGTATGTTGAGTTCCATTGGATACAGATAGTGAATAAAAAGCAAACAGGTAAAAATGACTTCTGGTCATGTTTAGAACATTTAGGAAGTACGTCAGTACAGGTGCAGTGCACGTGAATAATCCCAGCACTGGGGAGGATTCTGAGTTTGTGGCCAGACTGAGCTAAATAGGAAGACCCTGTTTTTTTTTTTTTTAAATTAAAATATGCAGTGAAAGAAAATAGATACAAAATGGGGTTGAAGAAGGGAACATTTTGAAAACACTGGAAGCTGAGGGGAGACCATTTGGGTTAAGGGTGGTCTGTTGTGTACTAACAGTGCAGGTGAAAGCAGAGGGTGTAGTGTGTAAAAAATTCATCCTTGCCCAGAGAGACTGGTCTGGCCTTTATGCTCAGCCTCTGAGAGGCAATCTATATAATGCCTGATAGGGCCTTTATGTAGGGTAAGAGCCAGTGCAAAAGATTTGAGGGTGGACCCAGCCATGCCAGAAAAACCAACTATATGATTCAGGGTGGGGGCTTTGGGTCACATGGTATCAGTCCACCTGGCAGCTGGGATCAGGTACCCAGGCAGTGAGTGAGTCATTCCTGTGTGATGGAGCCCCAGTAAAAACTTTGGACTTTTAGACTCAGACAAGCTCCTCTGGTTAGTAAGACTGTGCAGTTATCACATAATGATACCAGACAGTAGAGTCCTGACTTTGTAGCAGGGAGGAGGACCAAAAAGAAACAGGCCTGTGTTCTGATAAAGTACACAGGAAGGGATGGCATGGCAGAGAGATAAAACCTAAAGCATCCAAATGTGAAGAAAGTCATGTAGGACTAGAGGTAGAGGGGCACTTAGCACTAGGGTGAAGCAGCCTATAGAACTGCATGTAACCATATATGTGTTAAACCTTGTTTGCTTCTTTTATTTTATTACCTCTGTAACCTGCTTGCAAGGGTACATAAGGTGAGACCCCTTTGTTCTTGGGGCTCAGCCTTTGGACTCAAGTTGCTGACTCTGTGCCAGCACAATAAAGTGTTGCTTACTTGCCTCAGAGTCCCATCTCTGTTTGAGTTTCCTGTAACAACTCCAGAGAGGACCCCAGAGGCTAAGCATTGGAAACCTTCCTGGACTTCAATTTATTTGCTTTTGCCCTTGGATGTACCTTTTCTTTGTAATTGTTGCAGTACTTTAACTTGCAGCCCACCTAGCCTAAAAATCAGCTATAACTGGCATGACCCTTGGGTAACCCCGAGCCCCACTCCCTGGAACAAAGGGAGGTGGAACGGTTTCTGGGAACAGGGAGTGTTTCTGATTGATCGTGCTGAACGGAATGCAAGTCAATATGTTAAGACATCTGGTGTTCTTCAAGTTCCTGACAGGTAAATGTCTGGTGTTTTTTTTAGTTCCCAATAAGTAATCTTACCCCACCACCAGGATGTGGGCAATGTCAGAAAAATGTGACCCCAGGGGCATGAGGAATTCCTATGTGCAATGATTGATGCTTTAAAGAGTATAAAACCTGTTTCAACTTTGCATTCAGGGTCCTTGTTGAAACCTGCTGCGTCAGGCAGATACTCAGGCCCTAGCTAGCTAGAAAATAAACCTTGCCTTGTGACTTACTCTGTCTCGAGTGTCCTTTGTCCTCTCAGAGGGTGGCCAGCCTCAGACCCTAACAGTAATAAACTGTACAAATAGTAGCTTTCATTGAGTTCTGTGAGTTCATCTAGTGAATTATCTCACCTGGAGATGGTATGCAAACACTCCCAATTTACACGCGGTGTCAGAAATAAGGACAGTCTTGTAGGAGAACTGTGCCACCTTTGCTTCAGCAGCTTAGCCAATTCCAAGAAATTACTTGCAAACTTAGGTTGCAGTCATTGAAGTCTAGTGGCAAAACCTTAAGAGCTGTAAGGTTAATACAGAAGTGTCTCAAAAAAATAGTTGCTGTTACTGTAATTTTAGCAATAATTAAGCAGCACTGTTTGTCATTAATTGATCCTTTGGGTTTTAAAATCTGTTAATTGTTGCAATACATACAATGAACATCCTCATCCATCATTGTGAGGATTCTATGGGATCCTCATAATAGTTTTTTCTTTATTGGTAGTGCAGCCATTTTTTAACCTCAAATTCCTAAGTAGTGAAGCTCAGAAGTTTAAACACACAACTGAGAAACAGGTCAAATCCGTGCTGTTAATTTTAAGGTGTTTTACCTGTTTTTGTTCTTGTCACCAGTGCCTATTGGTTCAATTGAGTACAGAGACAGTACTCAGGAGACTCTTATTATTTCAGTGAACAGGGTTTTTATTCAAACAAACTCACACAGCACTTTCCTATGGATCCTAATGCCTGTCTTTTCTACCCTAGCCAGCCAGGGGTTACTCAGACCTTCCCCCAAGTCTCGCTCACACTCACGTGCAAAGTCTTCTCAGCCGATGAGGGGAGTGTAGCTGTGCCCCAGGGGATCCTCACAGCAGCCTTCAGTGCAGATCCAGTTCACAGTTCACCGGGGACACCCAGTGGTCGTTGGGAGAAGGGGCACGCTCACAAGCAGCGGCTGTCTCTACGTCAGGGTCCCGGACAGACTCCTGACAGCGTGGTCTCTGATGGCAAGGGGGCGAACAAGGCTTTGGGTTCTGGCCTGAGTTTATATACCCTGTGGTGACCTCACCACTTCTGTTATCCACACTGTCACCTTAGGGTTGGCTTATTAGCATATCAGCTTGTAACACTCTGGCTGGCTTCTGAGTCCTAACACACACTAGCTAATATTTCTTTATTTCAACAATTTTGCATGCTTTAACACAATACAATCCATCAATACAACAACAATCTTATATGTGTTCACCACAGTTCCAATATTTGTATTTCATAATACTGGATAATTACAGACATATTAGAAAGGACTGGTAAGAATGTGACACAGGTTACTCCAGAGGCACCTGCACACCCATGATTATTGCAGCACTATTCACAATAGCCAAGTTATGGAAACAGCCAAGATGCCCCACTACAGACAAATGGATTAAGAAAATGTGGTATCTATACACGATGGAATTTTATGAAGCCATGAAGACGAAATGTTATCATTTGCTGGTAAATGGATGGAATTGGAGAACATCATTCTGAGTGAGGTTAGCCTGGCCCAAAAGACCAAAAATCGTATGTTCTCCCTCATATGCGGACATTAGATCAAGGGCAAACACAACAAGGGGATTGGACTTTGAGCACACGATGAAGCGAGAACACACAAGGTATGAGGATAGGTAAGACACCTAAAAAACTAGATAGCATTTGTTACCCTCAATGCAGAGAAACTAAAGCAGATGCTTTAAAGCAACTGAGGCCAATAGGAGAAGGGGACCAGGAACTAGAAAAAAGGTTAGATCAAGAAGAATTAACCTAGAAGGTAACACACATGCACAGGAAATCAATGTGAGTCAACTCCCTGTATAGCTATCCTTATCTCAACTAGCAAAAACCCTTGTTCCTTCCTATTACTGCTTAACTCTCTCTACAACAAAATTAGAGATAAGGGCAAAATAGTTTCTGCCTGGTAGCAGGGGGGTGGGGAGGAGAGGGAGGGGGCAAAGGGGGGTTAAGGGGGGGAGGGGGGAGAAATGAACCAAACATTGTATGCACATATGAATAAAAAAATTAAAAATAAAATACTAAGAGGAAAAAAAAAAAAAGGACTGGTAAGTTTCAATGTTGGGGAGATTTCGTGGTTATTTCCTAAACAGGCGTAACAACATTAGCCTTAGTTATTGATTGGGTCTTGAAGTTTTTGGTTGTTTCTTAATAAAATTGTAAATTTTATTTGGTTATCTTTGGATTCCAGTTATTGTGGAGACTTATAGCCCCAGTTATTTGTGTTTTTTGCCTTACTGTAGTCAAGGTTGCCTCTTCAGGCCAAGTTTACTGAGTTTATCTGAAGGATAGAAGTAGGGGCTGAGGAAGAAATGGAGTGTGTTTGTTTCCTTGCAAGGGTAGTTATATTTTTCTCAGGTGAACTTGAAGGAATGAGTAAAATTCTAAGAAACCCCAAGGAGGACAACATTTTTTCCCCTCTTAGAAGTTTTTGGAAAACTTCTAAGCAATTTGTACATAATTAAAATTATATAGGTTTTTAAGAGAATGAATGTACAAATAACCTATATGACAGTTTCCTGAATTATTTGTTTAAATATAATTTTAAGGGGCTGGGAGTGTTGGGGAACTTTCTTAACATGTGCAAGGATTTGGGTTCAAGCTCCAGCACTGCAAAAAAAGAAATAAAACCATAAATAGAATTTTATAATTTAAATCTTGATATTTCCTCCACCTATGAAATACTTTTTTTTCTCTAATGTATTAGGAAATAAATCAGTAAGATTTATGAGCCAGGCACTGGTGGCTCACATCTGTAGTCCTAGCTACTCAGGAAGATCAAGGTTCAAAGCCAGCCCCAGGCAAATAGTTTATGAGACCCTATCTTGAAAAACCCATCACAAAACAGGGCAGGTGGAGTAGGTGAAGTGGTAATGACACCTGCCTAGCAAGTGTGAGGTCCTGAGTTCCAACGTCAGTGCCAAAAAGATTTGTAATACTTAATATTATGAATCACCAGCAAGTTAAGATTCACTGATTTTTTTGGGGGGAGGGGTAGAACTGAATTTTTAAAAATTTTTATTGTTTTATTATTCATATGTGCATACAAGGCTTGGGTCATTTTTCCTCCCTGCCCCAACCCCCTCCCTTACCACCCACTCCACCACCTCCCTCTTCCCCTCACCCCCTCAATACCCGGCAGAAACTATTTTGCCCTTATCTCTAATTTTGTTGAAGAGAGAATATAAGCAATAATAGGAAGGAACAAGGGTTTTTGCTAGTTGAGATAAGGATAGCTATACAGGGAGTTGACTCACATTGATTTCCTGTGCATGTGTTAACCTAGAAGTTAACACACATGCACAGAACTGAAGTTTTGAACTTGGGGTTTCGTGCTTGCAAAGCAGGCACTCTACCACACCTCCAGTCCATTTTGCTCTGGTATTTTGGAGATGAGGGTCTCATCGACTATTTGTCCTCAAACTGTGATCCTATCTCAGCCTCTCAATCATTAAATTTTTAATCAGATTGTTATTTGTGGTTGATGTCCATTGCTAGAGATTTTGTATACTTCTATATTAAAAGAAATAGCAAGTTCCTTTTCCACCTAATTTCAATACATTTGAAGACTGAATACATTTAAAGAAAAACATCTTTTAAGACACTGGACAGTTAACATTTGATGAACTCCTGCTATCTGGTATTTATCCATACTAAACAGTATTTGTCCATCTTGTAATAGGATTTTCCCTTACCCTTTGTGCTTAATGGCTTTCTTTCAGAATGAGATGAAGGGCTAGAAGATGTGGACAGAGCAGGGCTGGAGATGGGGTTTGGTTGGTGTGGCATTCACCTAGTATGCAGGAGATCCTGGGCGTGATCTCCAGCACTGCCAAAACAACAAAAGATTTGGATGGATGCAAAAATACTAGAGATAATATTTATACCGGGGTAAACTATGCAAGAAAAGGATGCAGACTAAAATTCTCAAGCTTTATTCAACAGAAATCAATGGAAAACTCAAGGAGCTTAGTACCACAGTTACTGAAAGGCATCTCAGCTTTAGAAAATAAGGAAGGCAGAATGGGATTGAGAAGGATTAATCAATCAAACTTAAAAAGCAGGAAGCATTTGCTTATGGATTAGTTGGTAGCTAATAATACTTGTTGGTGCAAATCAGTAAAGTGATACGTAACAATAATGTGACCTTGTCGATGGCATCTTTTATGTCATGTTTATTGGAATAACAGTGGTTTTTGAAGTCTTTTGAACTAGATTGCCTGTGGTTAAATCCTGGCCTTACTGTAGCTGTGTGACTTCAGCCAAGATGCCTACCCGCTCTTCACCTCAGTTTTCTCATCTGTCAAATGCAATAGTAATTGTGTGATAACAGTATTATGCAATGGTAATGATTAATCACAGTCCACCTCTCTTCCAGAGTTGTAAGTGTGCAGGTAGTTAACACACTTAGAACTGTCTCTGACATGAGGCTAAATGACAACTGCTGGAGTGAGACTTATGTTTACTAAGCATTGGCCTTTTTAGAGGTTGGTAGGAGTGGACACCCTGGATAATTAATTATGTTTTTAACCAAATTCCTCATGGCTTACAGAAAACTGAAAATGAAACCCTTGAAAGCTTATAACCTCGTTCCAACTTTTAAAGAGTTCTGCCTCAATGTATTATGGTTTTTACTTTGTCTCGATCCTGACTTTCTCTGTCCTAGTGTATACTGGCCCTGTTGCTTCCGACAGCATCCAAATGCCAGGATGACTACACAATAGCAAAGGAAGATGACAGTGGTACACAAGGCCACAGAAGCCAGCCAGGTCTTTGAGGTCACAGATGCCCCACCAGGTATCTCATCTTCATTCTCAGATGTGTGATTTCTGCTGTTGGACCCCTTGGTCTTGTTCAGTAATTGTTTGCTACTGTTGAGTCGGGATGGGATAGGCACATGAGAACATTTTGTGTCTGTGGGCACAAAAAAAGGAGAAATACTTTCATTGTCCGGATTGCTGATGAAGTCAGTACTTGGAGATTCCTTATTTACTTTGGTGGTAATGGGGTCATTTAGGGAAATGAATTTTTCCCCAAAATCTGTGGCTAATTCCTTGGAATAACCCGTATTGTTTGTGTTTGCAACCAAATCTTGATGTGTAGTTGATGATGGAGGCTCTATTGATGGCAGCATATGGCTGAGCATGGTGGTTTTTTGTTTGTCTAAATTCATAGCTTTTAGGATCCTTAGTCTGTCCCACCTACCAGATGAAGAATGGGTATTTATGGAGGCAGGCTAGAAGTAGGAAAAGTTTGGGGCTCATGTAGGTTGCCCAGAGATGGGCAGACCACCCTCCCCTGCCCTCCTGTGGGGTAGTGTAGGATTTAAAGGCACCTGAAAAAGAAAAGCACTCTCTCTGCCGGCAGACTCCACCTGCACCCACCATGCTCTCTGCTGTTTCTTCCCTTTCCTCACCTGGCAGAACAGGTGACTCCCCTTTTCTCAATAAAGCTATCCTACCTCACCCCATCCATGTGCTCTGCTTGGATTTTTCCATTTGGAGCACAAAACCAGGATCTTCTGATCACAGACTACATCAGCATCAGTAACAATGTCATTTATTTTATTTTTAATTTCAAAGAGCAAGTCTTAAGACACAGTTTGGAGCATCAGGTTTTCCCACTCTGAGTTGTTGAACTAAGTTAAATTCAGACTCAACCACTGAAAATTTCTGAAAAGCTTAGACACATGCCATCTAAATTTCAGCTTATCTTAACTTCCTAGTGTTGGGTCTGGGGACCTAAAGAACAGATGACTGAGTGTCCCACTCTGTGGAGAGCACTATGAGCCCTGCACCTGAGGAGGAATTATAAATCTGCACTCCTGCATCCCGAGGAGGAGAAACATGGTCTCATAAATCTGCCCTGGGGCTGATAAACAGAATGCTCTCAAGGTTGTTCCCCCTATAAGGGGCAAACAGACCTGCTCATTGAAGAGAGCCTGCACATGTGAATCCATGGCCAATGGAAAAAAACAAAACACCTAACCCTTACCTAACCCAGAGTTAAAGCGTCCATAAAAAGCCCAGCCTTCTCCTGATAGGAAGCCACAAGTTTCTGGGCTCCACTGCACCACTCTAGCTGCAGCCTTTCCTTTCTCTAAAAACTCCTACTTCTTGTACCAACTTTGGCTCACAAGTCAATCAGCTGGCTCACAAGCCAGTTCTCTGGCTTGTGAAAGCAAGAACCCTAGACACAGCCCAAAAAATTTCCCACCAGCAGGTAACATTTCTGGTGACCATGAAGGGACATCGTGGACCAAAGTCGGTATGAGTGAGCACTAAACCATCAAGAGTTTGTCTAAGGTGAGCCTCGGCGCCTTGCCGACACTCCTGCTGGGGTAAGCCCCTGCTGAGGACAAGCCAAAAGCAGACTTCCCTATGCCACTCCCCTGTCTCTTTCTGTCTTCCTGAGGGACTTTGCCCTGGTGGTATTGGACCAGCAGCTCCTAGCCAACTTTGGCCTCAGGGAGATTCTGGCTCTGGGGGTGTTTCCTGCTCCCTTCATGTGAGCCGAGATTGAGCCCGGGGTTTAGTTGAGTACTCCTTATACTATGTTGGAGAAATCCTGTTTGGTTTTGCCACCTGGTGATCTTCTTCTCCCACCTGTCAATACCTACTTCTGCCAGAGGCAGCGACCTGAGAGTGGAGATTTTGTGTGGCTGACAGTGTTCCAGTACCACTTAGTGGGAGCGACCTGAAAAAACACCTAATTGTTAATCCTTCAAGCGTGTGTCCTGTCTCTCGGCTCTGTTCCCCCTCCCTCTCCTAAAATGTCAGGTCGCCCCTTCTGTCCCTGCCAGAAGCAGCAGACATACTTTTACTCACACATTCCCTCTCTGGTCCTGTCAGCTTGTCCTTCATCTCTGTCTGTCTTCCCCTCCCTGTGCTTACTAGGACCCTGGCCTCCCATGGGAAACTCATGCCATAGTACCTTATGACTTTCTTGTGTTACTCCCATGCCCAGTTTATCATGCCCCTTGGTCACACCAGTTTTAAATCGGCTGCTGGGCACCAGTGGAGGAAAAGGCACCTCATGAAACTGTGGCCCTAGGCAGGAGTGAGGATTGACACACAAGCCTCCAAGCCACAAATGTGCCCAACCCCCCCACCCAAACACACCCCCACCACAGCTAAGACAATCTATGCTAGGTCCCAGCTGGCATCCAGAACCGTCACCACCGCTGCTGCCAGCTGTGTGGCAGCAACCTGCGACCAGCAGCCACTCTCCAAAAAGAGCTGAGAAGGGAGATAAAGGTGCATGTGCACAGAAGGAAGAGCACCAGGCCACAGGGGCGGACCCAGTGAGGTTGAGGAGTGAAACCACCCCCAAAGGAGAGGAGGGAAAAGCATGCATGTGCACAGGGACACCAGCCTGTCCTACTGGACTCCCCAGGCATAATGATGACACCCACCATAGCTAAGACAATCCATTAAAAGGGCCCAGCATGCATCCAAAGCCACCAGTCATGCACTGCTGCAACTCCCCCAAAAAAGGGATAGGAGGAAAAATAAATGCTCGCAGGCACATGTACATGGGAGGAGGGCAACAGGCCACAGGGGCAGGCCTTGGCAGGCAGGGTCACTCATCTCAGGTGTGGGGGAGGGCAGGGGCGCCTTGCCCAAGCCCTGTGACAGCCCTACCTCATGCCTGAGACTGACTGACCAGCCCTTGGAGCCAATTCTTATTTCAAAGTTATGGACCCCAAGAAGCACTGATGTAACCTTCCCAGAACAGCCAACCCCCCCCAAAAAAAAACAAAGGGCATTGCTATGGTCTCTAGACTTCTCATTTAAAACTTCTCACATTTGGCCAAGGCATAAAAAAATTTTCCTCCAAATATTGACACTAGTCGTCCCTTTGTGGCACTGTGACTGCCCTGGGACTCCCTCTGAGTTCCCGTCTCTAACTCAACAGGCACTTCTCCAGGTGATGCATTCCTTTGTTAAAGAGGATGCCTGCTTTTGGAAATATAAGGTTAAAAGGCAGGGTCCTAGAGTTTTATCATTGCATCAGTACAGTGGCTCAGCCCAACCAGCCAGTTCATTTCCTTCAATCCTTGCCACAGATGGCAGAAGGAAATCATGAGACAGGGACGTCTGCTCTCATCAGGTTAATTCCCAGTCAGGATGCTGACAAGAGGAGAACTGACCAAGTTTTGTTGTTATTGTTTTTCTACATGGGACCTGCCCTCTCCACTCATCCGGCCTCAGTACCCTAGCAATCTCTGCTGGCCTGCCTACTGAAACGTTGAAAGGACTTTGACCCTATTAATCTTAAGAAAAAAACCCCTCATCTTTCTTTGTTCTGAGGCCTGGCCTCAGTATCCCTTGGGTGACCAAGAGAAGTGGCCTTCAGAGGGCTCTTTAAATTATAATACCATACTCCAATTAGACCTTTTCTGTAAAAGGGAGGACAAGTGGACTGAGGTCCCCTACATACAACTTTTCCTTTATCTCCAGGACCACCCAGAATGGCTCCATAATTGCTATCTAGATACTCAAACACTGGCCATTCCTTTTAAGCCACAGGATAAACATGGGGAAGGAGGACCAGAAAAGGCCCTTATCAGTGACAAGGCCCCTGTCCTACTGCTCCTTCTACTGCTCACCCTCTGCCCCACCTTCTAAGCCACCCCAATATTCAGAACCTCCTAATGAATGTTTTCCCCTTCAATAGGCAGTGATAGGAAGAGGGTAAGTATATCTCCCCTTCCATTTATCAGAACCAAAAGAGATTAAAAAGGATCTGGGTAACTGTACTGATGCCCCAGACCAATATATCCAGGCCTTTATTTCTGTGATCTGAACCTTTGAGTTGGCCTGGAAGGAGTCCTAGATCAGACTCTTTCCTCATTAGAAAAGCAACAGGTCCTAACCCAGGCCACTCAAGTTGGAGACGATTTCCATTGACAACAAGCCCCAATACCTGTGGCACCTGGAAATGAGAGAATAAATATGCCTATGCCCACAGGGGGACAGGCAGTCCCCTTGGCAGATCCACATTGGGATCAAAATGATGAGGGGGATGAATGGCATCAGCACAACTTCATCTATCTTATAGTGGAAGGGCTAAAAAGGGCCAAAGTTAAACGTCTAAACTATTCCCAGGTGACCATAGTACAACAAGGCCCTGATGAAAACCCCCTGACCTTTCTACAGCATCTTAAGGACTCTATCCAAAAGCATACCACAGTGGACCCAGAGTCACAGGTGGGAGAGGTTCTCCTCAAAGATAAATTTCTATCCCAGTCAGCCCCAGATACCCATAGAAAACCCCAAAAGTCTGTGGCTAAAGAGGAAAAGTCATTGGACCAACTAATGCAACTAGCCATGTCTGTATACTATAATTAGGACCTTGCTAAAAATAGAAAAAAGGATTAAAAAAGAGGTTATAAAAATGAAAGTTGAAATATTGGCTGACATCTCACAGGAGGGTCATGTAAACGTACAATGGAGACTCCCACTTCCCACTCCTCCTCCCAGAAAAAGAATAAAACTCCCACAACCTCAGCCACCCATGGATCTATATCCCCAGCTGTACAGATTACTCAAATCTGCCCACTATCTTTTAAACTCTACAAAACCCACTTTGGCTGAGGATTGCTGGATTGTCTCGCTCCAAGCCTCCCACAGGTATTGGCAATTCCTGTGGATTCACTTGAGACCTCACCAGGTAATAAACCCTCCCCTAACAAGACCTAATATTACCAATATAGAAACTAACCCATCCTGCTCTTCAGTCCTCAAAGTTTACAGGGGTCAATTCCACTGGGGGAAATTTCCAAAAACCTTTGCATAAATATCACACAGTCAACAAATGGCACTCAGTGTTTGTTTTCTCCTGGAATTTATTTTGTTTGCAGATCTGCCGCCTACACATGCCTACCTCCCAGCTGGAAGGGAACCTGTAATAAGGTCTCCTAACCCCGCAAATTGATGTTGTTTCTGGTAACCAGTCCCTTCCTATTCCTCTAGTGGCCTACACTTGATCAAAGAGAGCTATCGAAATCATTCCCCCATTGATAGCCATGGGGATCAAGGCTGGAGTAGATACTGGCATTGGGGGCAGCTCCTCATCAGCCCTTATCTATCAAAGGCTGTCAGCAGAGTTTACTAATTATACAGAACGGGTCTCACGGGCCTTAGAGGCTTTACAAGATGAGGTAGATCACTCATGTCAATAGTGCTTCAAAATAAACGTGCACTGGAGCTGTTAGCTGCTGAAAAGGGAGGAATGTGCCTTTTCCTAAACAAGGAATGTTTCTTCTATACTAACAAATTTGGGGTGGTCAGAGACATGGCCCAACAGTTACAAGAGCGCATTACAAAAAGGAGACAAAGAGCTAGTCAATTCGTGGTCCTTCTGGAGCAGCATATGGAGCTGGGCTCCTTGGGCACTACTTCTTGCTGGCCCCCTTTTTATGCTCCTTCTAATACTCCTATTTGAGCCCTGTATAATGCTCTCTGCAGATTCATATCTCAACAGGTCCAACAGATCAAATTCCAGTTCTTAAAGATATTCACCTCTGCCTACGCATGAGCCCTGCATCCAGTTCTATTGGGGGCCTTTGGAGACTACATGGGCCAACCTCTGAGACAAGTGCCACCACCCCTACCCCCTGTTGCCCCATTGCAAGCACAAAGCAGCTAGTCGAGTCATTGCCTTTCTCTCCAACAGCAGTTGGGTACTTGCCTCAGAGAGGGCACTTGTTGGGTCTGGGAACCTAAAGGACAGATGTGTGAGTGTCCCATCCCCCATGGAGAGCACTATAAGCCCTGCACCCTGAGAAGGAGTTATAAATCTGCACCCCTGCACCCTAAGGAGGAGATACAGGGTCTCATAGATCTGCCACAGGGCTGATAAACGGAATGCTCTCAAGGTTGTTTCCCCTCAATAAGGGGCAAACAGACCCGCTCATTGAAGAAAGTGCATGCCTTGTGAGTCCACCATCCATGGAAAGAAACCACCTAACCCTTACCCTAACCCAGAGTTAACGTGTCCATAAAAAGCCCCAGCCTCACCTCAGTGGGGAGCCATGGGTTTCTGGGCTCTGCCGCATGGCTCTAGCTGTAGCCTTTCCTTTCTCTCTAATAAATCCTACTTTGTGTACCCGCCTTGTCTCACAAGCCAATCAGCTACCTCATGAGCCAGTTGTCTGGCCTGTGAAGGCAAGGACCTCGACACCAGTCACAACACTTCACACCAGCACGTAACACCAGGACACTTTCTGCTTTGAACGAATTGGGCTTGTGTGTGCCAGGGCTTTGGCCCAGCAATAGCAAGTGCTGTTGTAATGGGGAAACAGTAATCTTTTGAGATGATAGCTAACATTTTTAAATGCAATAGAATAAAATAGAGCCTGAGAAGGGTAACTATTCAAAATCATGAAATCCCTGAGGGTCTGGCTTTATTTTACTATTTTCTCAGTTTTTGTATGCTAACTCCTTTTCCCCTGACTTTACACAAGCCCAAACTGCTTTGTCTTTAAAGTGGAAGAAAAAAGCTTAACTACACACACAAACATCTCTCTCTCTCTGAAAGCATGCCAATTTCCATTTCCTTTCTGACTTTGTTTTACCTGTTACCTTGTTTCATTCCTCACCCTTCTGTCAAAATTATGCTTCTGAGGCCCTTTCTGTTTCCTAATCATTTGTACCTCATTGCTTTGGCTTTTCTGTTGTCCTTCGATACTGCTGACCATCCTTTTCTTGAAATTCTTCTCCCATGACTCCCTGGACCCCAGGCCCCCTGGCATTTTACCCCCACTCCCTGCTTCCCATTTTTACTTCTTTTGCTGGTTCTCTTCTTGCTGTTAACTGGTGGCTGGTGTTTCCACATTCTTTAGTCCTTGGGTTTCTGTTGTGTTTTCTTTTCACTGCTTCCCAGCCTTCCACACACACAAGGAGATTGTCCTCAGTCTTCACACTACAGTGATGGACTTCAGTGTTTCAATGGAGGCTTTTGCCTGGACAGCTCACATCATCTCTAACTGAATATGTCTGAGCCAAAATCATTCTGCCTCCTTGTCTCAGCCAGTGGCATTATCACCCCATCACCCATCCTGGAATCTATGGCAAGAATGATTTTTGCCTTCTCTTGTAGTGGGGAGGAGGGGAAGACATGGCAGAAAACTGAAACTTAAAGAAACTGAACCTGAGAAGGTCATGTACCACTGAGGATGGAGTAGCCAATGAAGCTGGAAGTAACCATATATGGGTTAAACTTTGCTTCTTGCTTCTGTAACCTGCTTGCAGGGGTATATAAGCAAGGCTCCTTTGTTCTCAGGGCTCAGCCTTTAGATGGGAATCTGCTGAGCCACTGCCAGCATGCTAATAAACACTGCTTCCCTAAAAGCCTTGGTGTCCTGTTTTCCTGCTTGACTATCCCACATTCTCTCTTCATTTATTTCATTTCAAAGGTAACTAAGGGCTGGGGATGCAGCTCAGTGGTAGAGTACTTGCCTAGTATGCTCAAAGCCCTGGGTTCAGTTCCCAGAATCTCACACACAAAGTAATTAATCCTTCTTTCTGGTGTTCTGGTAATTACCCTTTTCATGACAACTACCATCACCTTGTGTAGATCAAGTGCTTTCTTGACTAGATTTTCGACTGTATCCCACATATGTTCCTAGACTAAGGGCATCAGAATTCTCCAATTGTGTTTTGTTAAATGCCTCATTAATTCCACATTCCTTTGTTGCTATTGTTGCTGAGACAGGCCAGCCTTAAGCTCAAAATCCTCCTGCCTCAGCCTTACGGTGCTGGGATTGAAGGGGTAAGACACTGCACCTGGCCTGATTCTCTCCTTCTGGCAGTCATTCCAAAACTCTATCCATAGACTTCTGGAAGGCCAGCCCCACCCTCTCTCTGCCATATTTCCATTGTAACTTCAAATGTGTCCTTATTGTAGCCAGACCAGCTTTTCACTTTCCTGTGGTATGATACACAACTCCTTACCTTGTTGCCTCTTCCAAGAAGCCTCCCCTGAATAAGCTGGTTTCCTTCAGTCTCCCTTTCTTACAGTCTTTGGACTGAGGCTGCATCACACATTTTTGTGTTTAGTTATATATTCTATATGGATTGTCTTAACTCATTACATCAACTAGGTTATAGGAAACATGAGGGCAGAGGTGTAGCTATTGAGCCCAGCCTGGAATTTTAGATAGTCAATGAATACAAATCAATAAAGAAATTTATCTCCTTTGTATTTTGATGGCAAACCCTATTCTTTTGTACATTGGCAAAGGACTCTTAAAGATGCATTTTTGTAGAATAAAATGCACTGGTTATCTTGACTAGTGAGAGGCTGATATGTCTGTTGTGGGGTACAGGGGGCCCACTCCAGGGGTTCTTGTCTTTGGTGGGCTTAGGAATAAGCTCACGAGACATGGATAGTGCACACACAGGTAGATTTATTAGAAAAAGAAAAGGCTGCAGCTAGAGCAATGTGGCAGAGCCCAGAAACCTGTGGCTCCCTGCTGAAGGCTGGGGCTTTTTATGGATACTTCAACTCAGGTTTAGGGTGAGGGTTAGGTGGGTTCTTTCCATTGGTTTTGGATTTGCTTGTGTAGGCTCTCTTCAATGAGCTGCTCTGTTTGCCCCTTATGGTGGGGGAGCAACCTTGACAGCATCCTGTCTATCAGCCCCGGGGCAGACTTATGAGACGATGTATCTCCTTCTCAGGATGCAGGACTCAGTGCTTTCCATGGGGATGGGACACTCACTCATCTGTCCTTTAGGTCTCCAGGCCCAACATGTCCACGGTGTGTTTCTTGGTCCTTGACTTCCATCTTTGTAGAATCATTGTATACATTGTCCATAGACCATTAGCCAGCTTTCCTCCATCCCTCCCTCCCTCCCTTCCTTCTTTACCTTTGGGTCTTGCTCTATATCATAGGCTGGCCTAAAACTCAAGATCCTCCAACCTCTGCTTCCTTAGTACTGGGATTACAGATGGCACCCTCAGCCACCACAGTGGAAATGCCTATTTAGCTTTTGTTGAGAGTTCCTGAAATATGGTACTTTAAGTTCTTGTTCATTTGCCCATAATTTATCATCTGGAATGAACTTGTCATTTCTGACTGTGCCAAACTAAAGGGAATTTCCTTTCAGTTTTCTTTCCTGGATGTACAAACCGTCTCTAGACAGAGATCACTGGAAAATAGTGATGTAGAGCCTATCCATGGCCATTACCAGCCAGTTTCTAGACTATATGTCTCTTCTAGAGTATTTCCAGCATCCTTCAAAAGTCTTGAAATGCAGAATCATTACATCTTTTATGTTGTACAGAATGGCACCAGTTCCAGGCTCTAATATGCAGCTCTCCAACGTGGGACAGTGGATATGGAGGCAGTTGACATTGTCATGAATCAGATCATGGAAGAAGACAGCCAGGTTACAGGAAACTGAAAAGGAAACAGACAAAGCACACTTTCAGAGGATCTTGATTTCCACCAGTGTTTGCTTATTTGTTTGAGTCAGTCTTGTTATATGTCCCAGGCTGGCCTCACCATCCTCCTACTTCAGCCTCCAGAGTGTGGGGTGCAAGAGTGGGCCACCATGCCCAGCTCCACTCCCAGTTTGATAAGTTTTGAGTGATTTACATTTCTTTCAGGAACACTGGATTAAAACTATATTGTAGGGCTATATTTAGCCATTTTATAGAACATTATGATATTGTAATGCCTTTTTTTTATAATCACACATCTAATGATTTTCTCTAAGTATTCCTTTATATATTCCTTCCCACAAAAATACCTATAACCATTATATTTTAGTTTCAGCATTTTATGTTCATGAAAAATTCAATTTGCTACAAAATCTTCTGGAGGGTTATACAATAAGTTTGCCTTATTTGTGGGTTTATCACAAGTATTTTCAACGAACTACATTCAAAACATAAAAATTTTAATCAAAATTTCAAAAACATTTTAAGTTCCCATGCACATTCTGCAGTCACCGGATGGGGAGAAGCTCTGTGGATGATAACCATCAGTTGTGTTTAAATCATTGTGGGATCTGCTGATCAATCTGTCCTTGATTTTGTAAAAATACAGTATTGCTTCCCAGGAAGCAAATGCTGCCCAAAAAGCAAGATAAAAGTAAATGTGCTTAATAGAAGTGAAAATCTGGGATTTGCTGAAAGAGTATGGATTTAGCAGAAGTGGGGTGGTTTGATGGGAAAAATGAATCCAGCATCCACAGGACAGCCCTGAACTCTATCCACCCTGAATGTACAAGGGTTTCTTCCACATGGGCTCCTTGGAATCATGTCCCTGTAGATACCAGTTAACAAACTGGTATCAGATCATGGTTTTAAAATGTGTGAAACAAACAAGGGAATTACTTAATTTTTTTGGCAGTACTGGGGTTTTAAACTCAGGGCCTCACACTTGCTAGGCAGGCACTCTACCACTTGATTCACTCCACCAGCCCAGGAATTACTTTAAAGCATTTATTGTTTCTGTTGTTTCTTTCCAAATACCTTTAAAATCACAAGGAAAGTGAAAAGTAAATGGAAGAAATCTGTAGGCAATTGCAACCTGAAATTCTGCAAGAATGAACTGTTTTCCTAATTAAGGCCTTATCATATTATATAGATAGTGTTTGCACCCAGATTCCATACTGCAGAGAAATAGTCTTTTATGGAAATGTGAGACTATGATTTAATTTTTTTGCTATTTGATATACATATCCCTATGTTTCAAACATGATTCACAGCCTTCCTGGCCAACGCATCCCGTGTTTTGTCAACCCAAGCAAACACAGTTCAAAAAGTAGTATGATACAATACTAATATCAACAAAAAGTACTTTAAAAAAACAAAATACTGCAAACATTTTTGAAATCATCTCTGCCATACCTGGGGTTATAAAAATGTTGTTAGTTAACCCTGGAGGAAATATTTTTGCTTCAACACTTCTTTGAAGAAAATAAGATTCTGGTTTCTGGAGGTCATGTGGCATTCTAAGACATTATTACATTTGTAAATACAGCATGCTAAAGTCAGTCTCAATCTCTCCCCCTCTCCCCTCCCCCTCTCTCTCCTTTATCCCAGTGCATCTTTTCTGGACCTTTTCACCTCTTCCCTTTCCTCCTTACCTAGGCCTTTGGTCTTGGCCGTCCCCCTTACTTTTGCTAAGGTATGTCATTAATACTTGCTGTCCTTCCTAAGACAGCAGCTCCTGCTGCACTTCTGGCCAGTGCTCTCAGAGTAATACTTCAAGAACTGGGCTCCCAGCTTCTGAGATTCCTGCAGCTCAATAAGCAGACCCAGAAATCGGTGGATCCAGCAGTCTCTGTAGAAAATGGCGGGTGAGCAGAGAGGGTCTGACACCCTGCCATGCTTATACATAAGCATTGCTCTGGTATGAAGGCAGACTCAGAGACAGTGTGACTTCCAGACTGATGCTGAAGGTGACCATTAGGGTTTTGGGTTTAGGACAGTCTCAAGATCTTTGGGCTAAGAGTGAGCTTCCTTGGAAGGCTTCTGGAGAGTCAGCCTGAGGAAAAAGGAGACCATTCTTTGCATACTTATTTTTCTTTTGTTTCTTCCCAGAAGAGTCCCTAAAATATTTTTTTTCTTAAATTTTACCACTTTTTATTTATTTTTTTATTGGGTGCTGAGTAGGGTACTTTGTAGCATTTACAGAAGTTCTTACAATATAACAAATATATCACACTGGAGTTCACCCCCTCCATCATTCTTCTTTATTCCCCCATTCCTGGAATAATTTCAACAGGTCTCATTTTTCCATTTGCATGCATGTGTAGACGGTATTTGCACCATATTAACCCTCCACATCCTTCCCCCACTTCCTCCTCACTCCCACTGGTACCAACCCCCCAAAAGGACCTCTTCTGCCCTCCTGTTCTCTGATTTTGTAAAAGAAAAAAAATGACACTTTTACTTGTTTGAGATAGCTGCACAGGAAATTTCCTTGTGGCACATCCATGTATATATGTATTATAGCCTGAATTGGCTCATCTCCTCTATTTTTCTTTCTACCTTAGTCACTTTCTTATGGTGATTTCAACAGGTTTAAAAATTCTATATTCATTCTGTATAGAGAGTACATCAACCATATTCACCTTCTTAACTTCTTTTGCTCTCCCTCTCTTGTATGTGACCTCCCCTTAGTGTGACCTGTTTTTCACAATATTGCTGTATTTGTATTAGGTCTATATTCCACATATGAGAGAAAACATGGCCTTCTGAACTTGGCTAACTTCACTTAAAATGATGTTCTCCACTTCCATACACTTACCTGCAAATGACAAAATTTCATTCTTCTTTGTGCTGGAATAAAATTCCACTCATCAGTAGTGGGGCATCTTGGCTGTTCCCATAGCTTTGCTATTGTGAATAATGCTGTAATAAACATGAGTGTGCAGGTGCCTTTGTTGTAACCTGACTTACATTCCTTTGGGTATAGCCCTAGCAATGGAATTGCTGGATAATATGGTAGTTCTATTTTTAGTATTTTGAGGAGCCTCTATACTGTCTTCCATAATAGTTACTCTAATTTACATTCCCACCAGCAGTGTATGAGGATTCCTTTTTCCCCACATCCTCACCAACATTGGTTGTCATTTGTATTCTCCATTCTAACAGGAGTGAGGTAGAATCTTAATATGGTTTTGACTGCATTTCCTTTATGGCCAGGGATGTTGAACATTTCTTCATGTGTTTTTCTAGCCATTTGGACTTCTTCCTTTGAGAAAGCTATGTTCATTTAATTTCTCCATTTCTCCATTGGGTCATTGACTTATTGGGAATTTAGTTTTTGAACTCCCTGAACATTCTGGTTATTCGTCCTTTGTCAGATGGATAGCTGAGAAAGGTTTTTCCCATTCTGTGGGCTGCCTCTTTAGTTTCGAGACCAAGTCTTTTGCTGTGCAGAAGCTTTTTAATTTCATGTAGTCCCATTTGTCAATCTTTCCTCTGAGTTGCTAAGCCATTTGAGTTCTATTTAGGAAATCATCACTTATGCCTATTAATTCCAATGTATCCCTCCTGTTTCCTATAATAGCTTCAGAGTTTCAGGTCTTATATTAGGGATGTTAATCTACTTTGAGTTGACGCTTGTACAGGGTGAAAGACATGGATCTAGTGTCAGTTTTCTGCAGGTAGATATCCACTTTTCCCAGCAACATTTCTTGAAGAAGCCATCTTTTCTCCTTAATATGTTTATGCCTGTGTCAAAAACCAGATGGGTGTAGTTGTATGGACTCATATCTGGATCTTCTATTCTCTTCCACTGGTCTTCATATCTGTTTTTGTGCCAGTACCATGCTATTTTTATTGCAATGGCTCTGTAGTATAATTTGAAGTCAGGTATTGTAATACCTACAGCATTGCTCTTTTTGTTCAGTATTGCCTTAGCTAGTCTCAGTCTTTTGTGCTTCCAGGTGAACTTTAGGGTTGATTTTTCAATCTCTGTGATGAATGTCACTGGAATTTTAATGGGAATTGCACTTAATATGTAGATTGCCATTAGTAATATAGCCATTTTCACTATGTTGATTCTACCAATCCATGAGCATGGGAGATCTTTCCATTTTCTGTAGTCTTCTTTGATCTCTTTCTTCAATGGTTTATAGTTTTCCTTGTGGAGGTCTTTCACATCCTTTAAGTTTATTCCTAGGTATTTTATTTTTTTGAGGTAATTGCAAATGGACTTATTTTCCTATATTCTTTCTCAGTCTGTTCATTGTTGGTGTATAGAAAGTTTACTGATCTTTGTAAATTGATTTTGTATCCTGCTACTTTGCTGAAGCTGTTTAAGGTTCTAAGAGCTTTGGAGTTGGTTTTCTGGGTCTTTTAGTTATAAGATCATGTCATCTGCAAATAGGGATAGTTTGACTACTTCCTTTCCAATTTGCATTCTTTTTATTTCTTCTTCCTGTCTTAGTGCTCTGGCTAGGAATTCCAAGACTATGTTGAATAAGTGGAGAGCGTGGACACCCTTGTCTCCTTCCTTAGAGGAAATGGTTTCACTTTTTTCCCATTGGCTCTAGGTTTGTCATATATAGCCTTTATTATGTTGAGGTACAGTCCTTATAGTTCTAGTTTCACCAGCTTTTATCATGAAGGGATGTTGAATTTTATTGAAGGCTTTATCTGCATCTATTGAGATGATCATGTGGTTTTTGTCTTTCCTTTTCTTAATAAGCTGTACTACACTTAATGATTTGCAATATGTTGAACAATCCTGCATCCCTGGGATGAAACCAACTTCATCATGGTGTATGATTTTTTGGTTTGCCAATATTTTACTGAGGATTTTTGCATCAATGTTCATTAAGAGATTGGTCTGTATTTCTTTTTTTGTTGTGCTCCTGTCCAGTTTTGGGATGAGTCTATTACTGGCTTCATAGAATGAGTTTGGCAGTGTTCTTTCCCTTGCTATTTCATGGAAAAAATTGAAGAATGTTGGTATTAGTTCTTTAAAGGTGTGGTAGAATTCAGTGGTGAATTTGTCAGGTCCTGGACTTTTCATTTTTGGGAGACTCTTTATCGCTACTTCAATTTCATTACATGCTATAGATCTGTTTAAGTGATTAAAATCCTGACATTCTCTTCGATTTAGAACCACTGGCCCCTGGAGGGATGAGAATTCTTCAAGTCAAAACTTTAATGTGACTATCACTATGTCAGACTGCTCTTTCAAAACTCCTGTATAGAGGATGCAAAAGGAAATAAACATTGGCAATATTATTATTTTTACAAAGTTCCCGAGCTTCACAGCCCAGTCTGTGAACCACTGCTATTTCCTCTGGTCTTCTACAGAGTCCATTGTTCACAGTGCAAGTACTCTACATGTGTCAGGAAAAGAGATCATTGTGTAAAAACAGGAGCCAAGAGCCAAAGGAGAATTTGTATGCTCTGGATGCTTCTGTACTGATTAGAAAGAAAGTACTAAGTAAAAGGAAAAGGTCATGCCCCAGACCTTGGCCAAAATATGCAGAGTAAGAAGGCTTCAGTGAAAATTATGACTATAGATAAATGAATGAATTCAGCTGTTATACATATAACAAATACTTATTGCAAATATGTCTGGATTATCTTCAATGACTTTAGATAGCATTACTAGTAATGTATGATTGAGGATAATGGGTAGACAAATGCAGGGATGACATGCTGAAGCAGACCTTTATGTCTTAACTGCTAACAACATTGATTGCCATAATTTTCAAACAACCCATACATGTAGCACATATTTTACGTCATTCACTTTTACTCACTGATAAAATATTAGAGACATAAACAATTAAGTAGATGTAACTTAGTTGAGGTGAATGACAAGAAGAGAGATCAGTATAACACAGGGTGGAAATAAGGCTATGAAAGAGCTTACAGATTGCCGTCAAAACACCAGAAATGACATATAACTCAAAAACTGAATCATCAGGTGGGATAATCCTTACCTGTTCCTCCTTTTGGAGAGAAGATAGAACATGATGATTGGAGTTTGCCTAATATGTGATTAACATCTCTGCATAATCAGGACTTACAACACTGGTTACTTCTGATTCTCCTGGCGAGCAAAGAAAAAAAAAAAAAAACTGAGGCCAGGAAAGCATGTTAGAGCCAGTAATACTTGGTGATTTATATTTTAGCACTATATGTGTATGTGTATATGTATGTGTGTGTGTTTGTACATCTATGTATATATACACAATTTACTGTTGTTCTTCTCTAATTATATAAAATATATATTGATTAGTATATATAGTACAACCAAGTACTATACTAAATTACAGAATGAGAAAGGAAACCCCACAAATTATAGAATCTGCTTTCGGGTAATTTATAATTTAATTGTAGAACATATGGAGTGGCTGGATGGATACATGGATTTGGTGGATATGTCTATGGCCAGGTAGGCAGGCATAAAAGATACTTTGCAACATAAGCAGATAACATCAAGTGGATTACTTACAAATGAAAACAGGGTTTCCTCAAGGAGTAGTACACACACACACACAGACACACACACACGCTTTATACTTTTCAAGCTTTTCTTGAAGAATGAATTGTAATTAGATAAAAAGAGATGGTAGAATCCAAGAAGAAGAAAATGATTTGAATAAAAGCTCAGAAATGAGAATGAAGCAGTCAAGCAAAGGGGACACTAATACATGGGCTGTCTTGGGAAACATATTTTGCAAAGGAGTTGGGAAATATAAACCTAAAAAAGGCCAGTTCATGTATGTCCTCAAGAGACCTATTTTGCTCTGAGGAAGACATAAAAATATCTGAAGCCAGAGTTATAAATTATTTATTCTTTGGAATAAATTTTCTTTTGTCATATTATTTTTGAAATGGGTGCATTGTGACATTTACAAAAGTTCTTACATCATAGTTGAATTCACCCCCTCCATTATTCTTCTTTATCCTTCCCTACCCCCATTCCTGGAATAGTTTCAGCAGCTCTTATTTTTCCACTTTCATACATAAATACATATTTCCACCATATTCACCCTCCTACATGCTTTAGCTAAGCATTGGAAACAGCCAAGATGCCCTACAACTAACTGGTGAATAAATTAAGAAAATGTGGTATTTACATACAATGGAATTTCATTAAGCCATAAAGAATGAAATTTTGTCATTTGCAGTAAATTGATGGAACTGGAGAACATCATCTTAAGTGAAGTTAGCTAGGTTCTGAAGGGTATGTTTTCTCACATATGTGGACTATAGACCCAATACAAATACAACCAGTATTATGCA